GTGTGTGTGCTGAAAAATGCCCCCTCGGCTTATACGCGGGTCACCAATTTTTCCCAGTTCTTTGTGGAAAAATAGGTCCCTCGGCTTATATTCGGGTCGACTTATACTCGAGTATATACGGTATACACCTTTCTCAGAATTACATTAGTCTTAACTATAATAATCTTGCATCAAAAAGACAAAAAAAGTCATTTTAAAATTTTATACTTCTGGATTTATAGTAGCATGAAATTTATTTTCTGCTGATTGTTAATATAGATAAATATGAAAATCCAGATGTTAGAAAAGAAAAAGAGACTGCGTGGGAAGACCATCATAACTTTTAAAAAGACTACAGTTTTTAAAATATTTGATTCATAGCTCTAAGGAGAAATAAGTAGAAACAGCAATACTTAACAAAGAATGAAAGCTAAAAAAATTCACTACCATGGAGTTGGAAGCCATTACTGTAATAAAACCTGAAAAGTTTTCAGTTCTCCAAAGAGATTACAAAAAAGTAGATTTAGAAAATGACATATTTTCCTACTTGGATAGAAAATGAAACAATCTCTAGATGCCAACACATGATTTTAGAATAGAAATGGCCAGTAATTGGGTAAAATACAATAAATTTTCTCTTTGAGATGGATCTTTTGTGAATGTTTAGGAACTAGATTTATATCCATCCATTTCTTAGGGTTAGAGCTCAATCTACTTTTAAATGTAGCAATAATGCTTTTTGTTTCTTCCTGGTAAGTTTTGGTTGACATTTTTTTTCAAATATTTTCTTAATTATCTTAATTCTTAAATTTTATTTTATTTCTGAGAGACATTGAAATAGATTAGAAGATGAAACTCTCTGATTTTTCAAGCAGTTATGAAGAAGTGAAGTCTATTTGCATAACCCATGATAAATATAGAATTTCATTCAGAAGTTTTGTATTGGATTGAATTGTCATTTTAGAAAGATGCATAAGTGTTAACTATCTCCACTTGTTGCATTGTAGCAGTTGAATCTTATTTGATCTTTTCTGGGAATTTTCATAATGGTATTTAATTACGCTGATAGGAAAAGGTTACAGTGTGATTTCCTTAGAAAGCTTGTAAATTTACACTTACATTTAATTATTTAGTCAATATGTCAAAATTCTATACAAACATGCAATTAATATTTTTATCATGTGCAAAAACCCCACAACCCCATTATATTACATGCTGATCATATTATTCAGCGTAATATTTGACTGAATCATTTAACTTTGAATATACAATGTATCAGTCTATCCATTGCATCAATTAAATGCATACATATATCTGCTATCCAAAACTATGAGTCCGGAATAATCTTATCTTTCCATTTAATAATCGTAGAATGCATCCATAATTTTTCACATAGTAATAAATTTCAAATTTGGGGTATATAATTTAAAAGCACATTCACATGGTTATTGTACTTTCAATATAGGTATTCCTCGACTTATGACCAATTGGGATTAGAAAATTCATTGTTAATTTGTGCAGTCATTAAATGGGACCACGACTTGTGACTTTCCCTGCCAGCTTCCCCATTGACTTTGCTTGTGGGAAATCATCTGAGAAGGTTGCAAATGGCAGTCAAGTGACTGCAGGATCCTGCAGCTGTGATAAATGCAAGCTGGTTACCAAGTGCTTGGATCACAAATCACTTGACTGCAAGGATCCTGCAACAGTTGTAAGTGTGAGGACCAATTGCAAGTCATTTTTTTCAATGTTGTCATGACTTTGAAAGTTGCTAAAGGAATGATCATAAGTCGGGGACTTACCTGTATTAACAATTTTGCGAATATCAAACCAAAGTGGGATATTGATTAACAAGCTCATATCATATAGATAAGTGTACCTTCATTTGTATTGCAGTTTTAGCATAATTGGGGTCGTAGTCAATTCTTTGAAAATATTTTTAAAGGAATCTAATAGACACAAAAAAGATTGTTATTTTTTAATTAGCATCATTTGGTAGGAGATAGTCTTGATATTAAATAAGTCTTCCATTAACTCAGTATCTTAGGAAATAATACTTTATTCTAAAACTCATAACCATTAATGGCCTGCTTGATATGGTTATAACTTTTAATGGTTTTTAGGAAATTGCTATAGATTTGGAAAAGTCAAAGTCATTCATATAATGATATTTCAGGAGTTTTAGATAACATCCAGGCCAAATTGCAATTCAAAAAATGTTTGTAATTGAGTATATGTCATTTCACAGTTTCACAGAGTTTAAACTCTTCCTGTAATAAACAACTTATTTAAAGTATTACAGGTAGCCTTGACTTATGATCATTTGTTTAGTGACAATTTGAAGTTACAACGGCACTGAAAAAAGTGACTTATGACCATTTTTCACACTTATAAATATTGCTGCATCATGTAGTCAAAATTTGGACCCTTGACAACTGGCATATATTTATGACAGTTGCAGTGTCCCAGGGTCATGTGATCACATTTTATGACCTTCTGACAAGCAAAGTCAGTGAGGAAGCCAGATTCATTTAACTGTGTTACTAATGTAACAACACAATGATTCACTTAATAACTGTGGCAAGAAAGGTTGTAAAATGGGGCAAAATTGACAACAATTATCTTGCTTAGTGTGGAAATGTTGGTCATAATCTGTAATAATGTTTTGAACCTTTTAAAAAAAATATTTGTTTTTAGCTAAAATATTGTCTATTTCTGACGTTACCAGCTTTTTCTCATAATTTCATGACATAAATAGTTAAAAGTACTGCTACTTATTCTTAGAAATGGATGCCTGAAGGACAAAAATCATTTGTGCATATATACATATGTCTAATCCCCTCTCCTCATTTTTTCTCCTTTACTCCCATTTGTTACTCTTAGCTAATGAACAGGATTTCCATGAATGTAGAATGGCCTGAATTACTTCCACTGTATTTATTTTCTTGAGCATTTAAAGTATTTTTGTGCATTTCCTTTTCTTTTTTCCTCCATCAGAGATTGTGCAGTTGATTCTACTTGTGTATTATGCATGGAATGCTTTCTGGGAAGTGTTCACAGGGAGCATCGATATAGGGTTAGTAAGCTTGCTTATTACTTTAGTGATTTTTTTTCCTTTGAGTTTATGCTTTATAGGGCTGTGCAAATCATTGCCAGGCATTACCAGTAAAACCAAAAAAATACTGCTCCTAAATACACTTCCAAAAGGCTCACTGAGGCTATTTTGAAAACTAGAAGTGTTAGTATTTGGGTCTGAAGAGTGCAAGGATCACGCATGGCTACCTTCACTGTACCATAAATTGCTCTTTTAAATAAGCTGTTGCTACTTGCAAGGCATGAGAAAGGTGGCATTCCTTTAAAGAATAACTGACAGGTATAATGAGGGTGCCCCTGCCAGATCTGAAAAATCCTTTGGCACTTCAGATTCAAATTCTGCACATCTGTCAAAGACCTTCTGAGATCATCTGTATATAATGCTCATATACAGAAGACATTTCTACAAGCATTTCTGTTTTGCTTTGCTGTCAATTGTGGCAAAAAAAATGTCTTCTGGATCTGTGTATAGATGATCTGAGAAGGCTCCTTAAGTAACTGAGCAGAATTTTTAGGAGGACACTGCTGCCTCTGCATTTGAAGGAGAGGCATTTAACTTGTGGTGCTGTGTGATTAAAACAATCCTCCACCAAATAATTTGTCCTGCTATTGTGTCATAATTCATAATTTCAGCAAATAAAATATAACAACAACAATAAATTTCCTCCTCCTTTTCCCTTCCTTGGGTAGTCAGCCTTTCTTCTTGGGTTGTCTCCATCCCTATTCTAGCCTCATTTTTTGTTGCATTTGTAGAAGTAGAGAGGTATTTTTGTATGTATGTGAGAGCATTGGTATATACTGGTATATGCAGATGGGAATTAATTACATAAATTGGATACCTTATTTTAGAGAAAATTTTAATAACTAGAAATTCAGTTAATATACATGTGTTTCTTTCTTTGGGCCTCAGACTTTGTTTGGAATTTGACTCCTGGCATGTGTAGAGCATGTACATTGACCTTAAAATATGTTAACACATACAAACACACATGGATACGCACACCCGTACATATACACTTATAACCACATAGACATAGACAAATATATGCACACTTTCATTGGGTGGGGTGGAGTTGTAGTATTGGTTCGAGGAGAAATTGAAAACCCATGGTTGATAGAATTAGGAACTTGGGCATTGTACAGGAGTTGTATCAATGTTTAGCAGTTGATTATTTATTAGTCCACTCTTCCTTTGGAGTAGGGTTGTCTTAAATTCTGGGTTGTCTTCTTCTGGGATAAATAATAAAATGTAAAGTTTCCTGGAACTTAAATTGTTGTCTTTATCACCACATTTACTTTGCATAGTGGAATGAGGTTCTTGCCATAGTTACTGAAATAAATGCTTTTTTGCCAACAGCCAGGAATTGGTAGCAATTGTAATCCAAAGACTAATCAGCCATTTCCCATCAGCTAGGAATGTGATTTTGGAGTCAATGAAATTGTTGCATTGATGTGCAGCTGTTGTTGAAAAAAAGGCCAACTTCGCTGTTAGTATTCATCGTTAATAATATATCTATACAGCTTTTTAGGTTTCACCAACATGACATAAAATACAGGTAGTCCTTGACTTACAACCATTTGTTTAGTGACCATTCAAAGTTATAATGACACTAAAAAAGTGACTTATGACCAGTTCTCAGACTTACAACCTTTGCAGCGTCTCCATGGTCATGTGATCAAAATTCAAGCCATTGGCAACTGGCGTGTATTTACAATCATTGCAGCATCTCTGGTCATGTGATTACCCATCATCTTCCCAGCTGGTTTCTGACAAGCAAAGTCAAAAGAGGAAGCGGGATTTGCCTAACAGTTACATGATTCATTTAACAATTGCAGTGATTTGTTTCACAACCCTGGCAAAAAAAGGAAATAAAATCGGGCAGGACTCACTTAAAACTGCCTTGCTTAGCAATTGAAATTCTGGTCCCAATTGTGGTCGTAAGTCAAGTCAAGAACAATCTGTAATGTGAAGAAAAAAAATGGCTAGGAAAGATCCCCTTTCCCTGTTTCCTGTAACATCAGTGTTCAATTTCTGCTCCACGAATTTAAGCTTTAATTCTAAAATGTCACACGTAGCTCTGACAGAAGTCATCTTACTTGCAATTCTTCCCTAGGAAATGCTAGGGCTAAGGAACTGTAAGTAGTTATTAACTTTTGCATCAGTGTTTATTTGTGTTTTTATTTGATCAGTATTTTTTCCATTCTTGCCCATTTTAAATAATATTTTAGATGACAACTTCAGGTGGAGGTGGTTTCTGTGACTGTGGTGACACTGAAGCTTGGAAAGAAGGTTTTTACTGCCAGAAGCATGAGCACAGTACTTCAGAAACTGAGGAGAATGAGGTAACAAGATGTGACATCTAAATTACAGTAGGTGACACTGAGATATTGTGTGGAATGAAGAAGGTAGAGAGTAAAATTTTACTGGCTCAGGAATTCTGGGAGTTGAAGTCCACGAGTCATAAAAGAGCCAAGGTTGCCTATCCCTGACCTAGGCTTATCCATCATAGAATTTCTTTACTTAAGCTTGTATGAACAAATAATTTTATTCAGCAGATTTCTGTTTTTGATTTTTGGAGGGACTTTTAATAATAGTTTTATTAAACATTTCAATTAAAAAAAATTTACAAACTTTTCAAAAAAGGAAAAAAAAGGAAAAATTGTACAGAAAATAAAAAAGAAAATAAGAAAGAAAAAATAAGAAGTAGAGTAAAAGAAAAGAAATAGCCCAAGATATATGCAAAGAAATGACTTTCCCCTTTATCACAAGTATAAACAATTTTAGTAATTTATCACTTCTCTTAAAATATAACAAATGATCTCTTTTTCCCATATCCTATCTCTTATCTATAAACAAATCAATAAAACCTTATTTCAGTTCTGATGTCAGCAAAAGTCCAGTAATGGTTACCAGAGATAACAACATACCTATTTTAAGCTTGATCAAATAAAGCCATATTACATCCCTTCCTTTTAACAATCTTTATCCTTAATCCCTTCAAATAATTTCATAGAGCTTGATTACTTTACATTTTTTTAGCTGATTTTACAAAATCCTTCAAAATTTTAACAAGTTTCCTTTGTAAATCCAATATAGGAAAGTTATCTGGGCCACTCTTTTGATTTGACATGTGTATATTTCTTTTAATTATTAATATATATAGCAGTTTAATTTATATATCCAGTGTCGAATCTTTTTCCATATCATTCTTGTAGGCTGTCATTTTTAAATCCACTTTCAAATTATGGCTCAGCCTCACCCTAACCCCAACGCAGTATAATTTGTTCTTCTTCTATAGCATCTTTTAAAAACAGTCTATCTATATTATGGCAGATACTCTAAAAGTTGAGATTTACTCTTAAAAGTTGAGGGTATGGTTCACAAATACCCTTCAGTATCCAGTGCCAAAGTATTTTGGTCCATTCTGTGTTAATAGATCAAAGTTAACCACACTTCTCATTTAATTGAAAAGTATAAATAACCAATCTTTAGTTCCTTCTGGTTTCCTCTAGTATCCGACTTTCCAAGTCCTATCTTGATATGTTTTGTTTAAGAATTCAAAACAACAGCATTTTCCCACAGGAAGGATTCTTATAATTAATTTCAAAATCTTATATCCATCTCGACCTTTAGTCCATTTGTAACTTTTTGCTGTTTATTCTAAAAAACATTTTAAAGTCCTTAAATTTGTATTTAAAACTTCTTTCACTAAGGATTGAAGTAAACTCACCTAGTATTATAAAACCTCTTGATCCAAGGTTTACTAATGGCTGAAAAGCAACTAAACAGATTTCCAAAAGTGATTAACAAAAGAGGCTTGGTGAACATTATGCTCCTATAGGCTGCATTACAGCTGTGAGCTTGACTGAAATTTCTCAACTCTCAGCGCCCAACTCAAGAATCAACAACAAAAACTTCCATTCCTCAGTCCACTCACAATTTTCTGGAGATCTGCTAACTACCAATCTCCACCAAAATTCTGTCCCTCCTCCTTCAGGGATTTTTAAGTTTACTTTAAATCTTCAGCAGAAGTTCTTGTTTTTTGTATTTTTAATTTCAGCAGATTGCCCTTTTGTGGAAATGATCCATAATAATTCTGTCTTGGTAATAATATCCAATTAATGGAAGCTAGAGAAATACCGGGGAAAATATTTGCAAGATTCTTATAAAGCATGTCACCACTATGTTTTCATACTGTCTACCTATGAAAAAAATTACCTTAATTTCAAAAATTCCAGGTAGTTTAGCCCAAACATCTAGAAATACACACTGATTAATATGAATCATAAAAAAGTACCAGAGCTGTTTTATTTTGTCTAAGGTAATAGTAGTGTTTAATTTCTTTATCTTCCCTACTTTTTAATCTGGATTATCTAAATCTTGTTATTAACATATATTTGAATCCTTTATCTTATTTGATTCTGAAATACAGAAAAGGAACAAAGAAAGCATAGTGAATGTTACGTAAATATTAAGAAAACCGTGAAATGAAATATTCAAATTCATTGGGTGTATTCACAATCAATATATTAATAAATCTCCTGTAGAATATCATGGTAGAAAAAAACCTAAGAAAATGTCTTAGTGTAATAATATTTTCACTGTTTTTATTTTAGGATCCTCTTGTGCATTTGCCAGAAGATATGATAACGAAAGTGTATGGTATTTTTGCAGTTGTCTTTCAGTATGCTGTAGATATATTAACATGGGAGAAAGAAAATGAATTGCCACCAGGTTTAGAAACAGCGTAAGTAGGAGACCAAATTCCAGCATTTGATTCCTAGTTTTACTAAAACATTATTATGATTGTTCTTTTAAATACTAAAAGAAAAATATATTATACAGGAATTGTTTGTAAAATGTGACTTGAATTGTAGTGGCTTCATGTAGTCACTTCAGGTAGTAGTACTGCAAAGAACTTACCTCAGAATTAGAAATTCAGCTTCTTAGACAAAGACAAACCAAATCAAATTCCATGAAAGGTCTTTTCAGCTAGAGTCCGGATGTGATAGCAATCTTCATGACCGGGCATTGTGTCAATGTCTTTACTTTGTTATTGCTTCCTAATTACCAGGAGTCCCTAAACTGCCAGAATCCAGGATTTATCAGCTCTGTTTTTTAAAAAAGAATTTACTCTTGAGTCATGCAAAATTTAGAATTATATTTTATACTATCAACATGTAGCAGAATCAGGCTGGCTTTATCTACCAGTCAGAATTGGACTTAGATAATAATTTGATGGGAGACCACCCAAGTTTCCTTGGCTATAGGGTAGCCTAAGTAGTTTAAAAAAAAAAAAAAAAAACCTAGGAAGAAAACAATAGCACTTCTTTATTGTTGGCAGGAAAGTTTACTCTGTACTCAAACCTACATTTTCACTTTTGTTAAAATTTTATTCTGCTCAGTTTGAATATTAAAGACAGCTTACAGTAAATGATATGCAGAAAGATGTGAATAGCAAAGAGATTTGTCCAGATAAAAAGCCAATAAAATTTGTAATGGGATAAGTAGTATATAATAACAACTATATAATAACAACAGCAACAACATTAATAATAATAATAATAATACTTGTTTTCTTTAATTAACAAGCTATACTTGTTCTTACTGCATACTTTCTATACAGTATAGAAATTGCAATGAATAATGGAAAAATTATGCCAAAATTATGCCAATTTCAATACTGATTGAAATTGCTGAATGTATTTGTGATACTGTCTTTACAGCAAGAAAAATGATACTTATTACTGCATGCTTTTTAATGATGAAGTCCACACATATGAGCAAGTTATTTATACACTTCAAAAAGCAGTGAATTGTACACAGAAGGAGGCCATTGGGTTTGCAACAACTGTGGATCGAGATGTAAGTAATTTATTTAAGCTTATTAACTTTTTACTTAGAAATTTATTAGTCTTTATATTATAAGTTCCTTGGTATTGATTAAATTAAATAATACAGAATCTCCTCCTGTTCTCTTCTGCAGTACAGTATACACTGTACAACCTGGAGCAGTTTGTACTGGATGCCTTCCCAGACTGAGAAATCTTTGCAATATAGCAAGTGATTATAATTGTGACTCTAGGAAAGCACTTTTTCTTATTTCAGCATATCAAGACACTTGCTTAAATTTATACTTTATCAAGCACATCAAATTATTTAAAGCGAGTTATGCATATATAGCACATCTTTGATCTGGTATAAGTAGTTTATACATTTATTATAGCCCCCATTTTACCATCATACTATCACCCAACAATTCTATCCTTTTAACTTATCAATCCCTATCTATATTGACATGTATTTGTGGTTCCTGGGGAATTCCATGGTTTTATTCATTCTCTTCTTCTATATTTGTAGTTTAAGCTATGGAATGTATGTAATTTTCAAATTACAACCATTTGTTTAGCAAGTGTTCAACATTATGATGGTGATGAAAACAATGACTTCCGACAGTTTTTGTACTTACATCGTTGCAGCATCCCCATAGTCTTGTGATTTGATTTGGGCACTTGGCAACTGGCATGGATTTATACAACAGTTACAATGAACACAACTTCTGACAGGCAAAGTCAATGGGGAAAGCCATATTTGTTTAATAACAACACGATTCACTTAAA